GGATGGATGGAGCATGATGAGGAGGATGCACAGGAGGGTGGGGATGATGATGAGGATGATGCGAAGGAGGGGGATGAGGAGGAGGGAAGGATCAGGAGGAGGAGGACGACGACGACGACGAGGAGCAGAGGGGGCAGGAGGAGTAGGAGGACGCCGTGGATCATGAGGGGGAGGATGAGGAAACGCATGCGGAGGAGGATGGGGAGTGGGAGTTGGGGCAGAAAAAGGTAGATAAGGGCAATGAGCAGGTGGATCACGATGAAAACGAGGCGGAGGAACAGGAGGATGGGGAGGGTGAGGAGGGAATGCTTGCTGGGGTCTCCTCTGAGCGCTTTCGGGGGCCTCTGGTGGGCAGTTTGGGGGCGTGCTGGGAGACTCTCCGGGGGCCTCTTGGGAGCCTCCTGGGGTCCCCCATTTGGGCCCCCTCTTGGAGCCGCCGTCGGTGCCTCTTGGCCTGTCTCGGAGGCGTCCCAGGCCGTCTTGGGGCCCTCTTCGGCCATGTTGGGAACCTGTTGGGGGAGTTTGGGCCGTCTTGGGGCGATCTTGGGGGCCTCTTTGGGCCGTTCGGAGCGTCGGGATGCGGACGAGGCGAGAACCCCAGCATGTTTCAAACATCTAAGCGAAAGTGTTGTCTCTTCGGGCCTTCTTGGGAGTGCTCCTGGAGGTCTCATGGGGCGCGTTGCAGGCCTCATGGGCTTTCAGGAGGCCGTGAAGGCGTCTTGGACAGATCGTTCGGCGATGCGGGGCCCTCTTGGACCGTTTTGGGGGCCTCTTCGGGCACTCTTGGCCCGTCCTGGGGATTCTTGGGACGCGTGAGCCCCCAGGAGACAGGCGTATCTTGGTGCCGCCCCCCCCCCAGGACTCACTTCCCGGGATCCCCCCCCGACTGGGGAGGGATCAAAGGGAGGGGGCTTCCAATCGATTGAATTACGACAAAAAGAATCAAAAAATACTCTGGGGGACGATTTGTCTACTATTTTGGAGTCTTTCTGAGAATATTTGACTCTGGTTCACTGTTCTTCCTCAATCCGCCTGCAGGAGGACACGCCCGGCCTAACCCTTGCCCATAAAAACGGAAAGGCAAGGACCGTTCCATCGCAGTGTGTTTGCGTTCGCGGCCAGAGTGCGGTTGCGGTTGCGAGGAGCGGGCCCGGGTTGAGGGGCGTAGGAGAGGGTCGAGCGGGCGTTGTGGCAGCATGGGCGTCTTTGATGAGGCTGCTGTTCCTCCTCCTCTCTCCTCTTCCCCCCTCCTCCCTCCCCGTCCATCCTTTTCTTCACTCCCTTCGTCATCGTCCCTCCTCATGCTCTCCCCCTCCCCCCGCCCATTCCCCCCTCCCTTCACTCACCACCCACCAAACCACCCCAACCCAACCCGAAGGCCCCAATTTATCCTCGATTTCCAGTGGGGGGGGGTCGTGGAACATCGAGAAAACACATATATGGAACCCGTACCCACCCCCACCCGAAATTCGAGTCATCTGGTTGGGTTGGGGTGGTCTGGTAGGTACGCGTGTTTCCTATCTCCCACTCCTCTGGTCTGCACTCGCCTCCGAGGCACACTCACATCGACCTCTTCCTCCCTTCCCCTCGCGAGCGCGGGGGGGCACTTCCGAGGAGCTACCCCCGCTCCCAACCCGGCGGCCCTTGTGCGGCTCAAGCGCAGCAGCACCTGGCTCGGGCGCAGGGCGCGAGCAGGATCGGAGTGGGGAAGGGAGCGCGCCAGAGGAGAAGGAGGAGGAGGAGGAGGAGGAACAGGAGGAGGAGGAGGAGGAAAAGGAGGACGAGGACAATCACGGAGGAGAACAGGGAGGAGGACGCTGAAGATGAAGACCCGGGGTGAGAACTAGTTCGAAGGCTAGGGGCCGGGAGGAGGCCGACGAGGAGGAACAGGAGGACGCGGAGTGGAGGACGCTGTGGAGGACTGAAGACGGACCCAAAGGAAGGACATCATAAGGATAAGAAGTAAGATCTCCCTCGATTCCCAGTTTAATTTCTTTTTCAAAAAGAAAATGATTAAACTGGTGGAATGGAGATTGAAGGAGATCTTACATTTCATATTTAATCACGAGGTCTGCTGCTGCTCCGTGCGCTCTGCACCGCGGCTTGCCTCGGGGTGTCTCGAATCATCCGGTTGCGCCGCGGCTTACGTGCACCCCCCCTCCCCTGACGGCGCTGGCTGCGGCCAGCGCCGCTGCCGCAGGGCGCGCCGGATCTGGTCCGTGCGTCTCGCTGGGGCGCGCCGCCTCTCAATCCAGAACGGGTGCCGCGCCGCCCGCTCCCTCTCCTTGGCATCGCTCGGACGTGTGCATTATTCCTTCGGCGAGGACCATCGAGGATCATCCTTGATCATTTGGCGAAAAAGCCACGCGCGAAACTGACAAAAAGACACAGGGAATGGACGTCCGAGCGATGGCGAGTCTCCTCCTCTTCCTGCTCCGCCCTGTTTGTGCGCGCGGGCGCAGTCAACCTCCGTGGACCGAGCATCGGCCACTCGGCGGGGACAGCTGGCGGCAGCACTCCAAAACCGCACTCCAGCTTACAGTCGGGGCCCTGAAGAAGGAACCCTTTTGGTTGGGGAGGGGCTCCGCGTTCCTTAAGTGTTTCACAGCTTGCCTCAGGCTTTCCTTATGTTTTCGACAGGAAATCGAAGGTTAACTTATGGAAAAGAGGGGCCTCGTTCCTTATTTAGGGTTCCTTAGGTCAACGCCCCGACTGTAGGGGATGCAAATCGTGCGCCAACGCCGATTCTGGCCAGGCCGGTCCCGGCCACGGTGGCACTGGCCCCTGGGCGGCGCTGCGCCCGCCATCCCGACGCGGTCTCCACGAGCTTCCGGTCCGAGCCGACCCAGTCCCTCGGGGAGGAGGAGGAGGAGGAGGAGGAGGAGGAGGAGGAGGAGGAGGAGGGCGAGAGGAGGATGGCAAGCTAGGTGCGCTCGCGCCATATCTCGCATCCCACCGTTCCCACCCATCCTTTCCCGTTGCCATGTTGCTTCTATCCGCCGACACGTGCCCTGACAGATCCAGACCTCGAAAGATGAGCACATCGTGGTAATGCGCGATAGGAAGAGGAGAGTTGCGTGCATTCGATGAGGAGGTGGCGGATGACCAGGAGGTTGAGCAGCAGGAGAAGAGGATCAGGAGGGAGGAGCTCGATGACGATCAGCAACAGCAACAGAAGTTGGAGTGGAAGGATCTAGAGGCGCATGATGATCAAGGGCAGGCGAAAGAGGGGAGGTGGTGAAGGATTCGGATCTAGAAAAGCTGCCCGCGCTGGCACAGGGGCGAGAGCGCCATTCTGATCGACGGGAGCAAAAGCGCCGATCCTGACATCAGGCCCGTGCTGCAGCAGGGGCGCCGTGTTGGAAGGGCCGAAGACGTTCGGACTCAAACGCCACACCACATGCATTTCCCGAAAAGTGCCCGAGGCAAGTTTTTTTTTTTTTTTTTTTTTTTTGCATGGGCAGTCCATACACACACAAGAACTCGTCGCCGGATGCGCACGATCGGCGTTTCCCTCACCGCCGCCGTGCCTCCCAGGAGCCCACGAGTGCTGCGACAGTGGCGCAGCTCATGGCCTCCCAGGGAGCCGCGAGGTCTCGGCTGGGGCGTCGTGGCCCCCGACTCCGCTGGACCTCCCAGGAGCCCACGGTGGTGGCGACGGCTGCACAGTCCGCAGGGAGCAGCGAGGTCTCCAAGGGGTGCGCGCTGCCCACGTCCCAGGAACCCACGGGAGGCGCGACCGCTGCGCAGTTCGCAGCCTCCCGGGGGGCAGCGAGGTCCCGATGGTCACCAGCCTCGAACTTATCCCTATCCCTAAGATTGACACGCCGAAAGGCGACGACAATCTTAGGGATGCGCCCTCAAAAACTGAGGGAATCCCTAATATTGGCATCGTGATGGGGCGATGCCCAGCATAGGGATAGGGATATGTTCCGGGCTGGTAAGATGGGTCCGCGTGGCCCCCGAAGCCGCTGCACCTCCCAGGAGCTCGTGGAAGCGGCGACGTTTTTGCGGGGTTTGCAGCCCCCCCAGGGAGCACGGTCTCGTGTTGGTGCGCGTGGCCCCCGACTCCGCTGAGCCTCCCAGGAGCCAGCGATCATACGACGGCTGCGCAGTTCGCAGCCCCCCATGGAGTTGCGAGGCTTCGGCTGGGTCCGCGTATTCCATCACTCCGCTAGGCGTACGGGGAGCCCACAAAGATGGCGACAGTTGTGCAGTTCGTAGCCCCCCGCCCCCAGGGAGCTGCGAGGTCTCGGCTGGGTCCGCGTACTCCCTATTTCGCCGTGCCTCCCACGAGCCCACGAAAGTGGCGAAAGTTGCGCGTCCTGATTCTTTTCGACGCAAGCATGTCTGGTGACGATTATTGTAATGCATCCCCGCTCCTATCAGCCGAAAAGGTATGTGACCAAACAAATAATCGATGACCGAACACGCGCTCGAAGTTGTGATCGAACACGTCGTGTGACCGAGAATGCGGCCGCAGTTAAAGATCGTCTTGGTTTCGAGCCAAATATTTCGGTTACACCCGGGCGCGGTCGGAAGTTTTCGGGCGCAAGTTTCGGTCGCACCCGGGCAGAGATTCGTGCACAGTGTCGGTCATGACGCTTCCAGGATTTATAGAGACGAGGCTACGTGAATGTTGGCGTGAGCAGGACATCCTCCAAGGTGCGTCCCCGATGTGGTTGTGGGTGGTCGATCGCTTGCCTCCCCCCGCAGGATGCAGCCGTCGGGCGGCCGCCAGTACCTGGGGCAGGAGTCGGACCACTCGTCAGGCAGGGGCGGCAGAGGGAGGAGGCTCGGCACGGATCGGTGTCACACCGACATGCTAACACTGCGCGTGCACCCCCCCCGGGGGCGACGCGCGCGCGCCGAGACGAATCTCATAGGATAAGCTCCTTGACGGGTGCGGCCTCGCCATGCCGCTCGGGAAACGGCATAATTTCGCATGTTTGTGCCCTCTGACCTGGTCGGACGCACCTCTCCAGGCAGGACGCACCGTGCCAGTACGTGCTTCCAGGGCGCCCTCGAGGGCGCGAGGCTTCTCGCGCCTCGCGGCTCGGCTCGAATCCCTCCTCTTCCTCCCCTTCTCCCCCGGGAGGCGGCGCGAGGGCGCGGAGCCCTTCGCGCCCTCGCGGCAGCGCGAGAGCGCGAAGCTGGGAGCCCCTGGTTAGGGGAACAAAAAATGTGGCATAGACATGAAAACTCGGACGGGGGGAGCTGTGGCCCTTGCCCCCCTGGGGGGACCCCTCGATCTCGACACCCCTCTCAAGAGATCGTCGGGGCGATGGGCTCCCCCGGGAGGGTGAGGACCACGGCTCCCCCAGTTGTGGCTGGCCATCACAGCGATCGACCTGGCTCCAGCATGCTGAAGGAGGAGGGGGTCGACTGGACGGGGCTAGGACGATCGGGGGCCACATGCGAACCCTACCCCTACCCCTTCGATGAGCAACAGACGAGGTGACAGATCGGACGTCTGACAGCTGCACTTTTCCTCTGCTATTTCTCCACTCCGGTCAGCAGGGCTCGAGCGCACGTGCTTTGAACACCCTCTGCAGATCGAAATGCTCGGCTCACACCGCGTGAGGCCACGACTCCCCCCACGACTTCTGAGGGGGAGGGTGGGGCTCGCTTCGCTCGGGAGCTCCCGAGCGAAGCGAACCCCACCCTCCCCTATCAGAAGTCGTGGGGGGTAAGGGTAGGGTTCGCATGTGGCCCCCTAAATATGCTAAAGAATGAGGGGGTCGACTGGACGGGGCTAGGACGAGGATGCATCCGTTCACAGCGTTCTGGAGCGCTCCCAGAGCGTTCCGGAGCGCTCCGAGAGGGCCGCGGCGCTCGAGGCATCCTCCAGATCCGCCAGATGTCAGAGATTGGCGATGTATATTGACGCGAAGTCATCCTCGTCCTGGCTTCGTCTTAGCCTAGGACTCCGACGTGATTGTTCGCGATTCTGCATTATCTTCCGCGTCTTCGGGCCTCAGGGAAGGACGGGCCGCGGGAGGAGGATGCAAGGGCGCCCTCGACGGCGCGAAGTTGTTTCGCGCGTCGTGCTTCGCGCTTCGGCTCCGATTTCTCCTCGTCCACCTCTTCTCCCCCGGGGGGGAGGGGCACGAGAGCACGGCGTTGGGCGCACTTGCATCTCTGCTCGCCCAGGAGGAGGAGGAGGAGGAGGAGGAAGAGGAGGAGGAGGGGGAGGAGGAGGACCAGAGGAGGAGAAAGGCACCGACGCCGCTAGCCTTCGCCTTGCAGGGCCTCCTGGGAGGCCCTCGTCGCCCCAACTGGATTCTCCTCGAGGTCCTGGTCGGAATGCACCCCAGGAGAGGTCCGCGGAGTAGCGGCATCCGTCTTGTTATGTTCCCCCCAAAATGACGGGGGAGGACGAGAAGAACAAGAGCAGAAGAGTGAGGAGTGCGTTGGGATGAGGAGGAGATGAAGAGTGGAGAGAGGATGGTCGAAGATGAAGGGAGAGGAGGGATTATGGAAGATGAGAGGTCGGAAGAAGGGGTGGTGGGAGATGAGGAGGAGAAGAAGAGTGGATGACTCATGTGGCCCGAGCGTTTTTAATTGTGTTGTTGTTGCTGCTGTGGTTGTTGTTGTTGTACTCTCATTGAATAATTATTGTGAATCCTCCCGTCCGGTGCATATTGTTTTTTTCGATTGAAGTGCCCTTCCCGGGGTTCGCACCTTGTTACCTAACAGCGAAGACTGATAGGTTTCTAATGGGGTCAAAAGAGAGCATCTGATGACTCCCCAGGGGGGTCTGGGCGGGAGCCGGACAGGCGAGGACCGGGCTCGTTTTAAGCAAACAGTCACACACTTCGTGCTCTTCGACCTCCCAGAACTCCATTCCCGGGCCACATTTTGGATGCCCGGAGCCAACTGTAGGCCACTTCGTGCTCTTCGTCTTCCTAGAACTCCATTCCCGGGCCACATTTTGGATGCCCGGAGCCATCTGTAGGCCACTTCGTGCTCTTCGACCTCCCAGAACTCCATTCCCGGGCCACATTTTGGATGCCCGGAGCCAACTGTAGGCCACCTCGTGCTCTTGGACTTCCCAGAACACGATTCCCGGGCCACATTTTGAATGCCCGGAGCCAACTGTAGGCCATTTCGTGTACTTCGAGTTCCCAACACTCCACTCCCGGGCCACATTTTTTGAACGCCCGGAGCCAACTGTAGGCCACTTCGTGGTCTTCGAGTTCCCAGAACTCCATTCCTGGGCATGATTTTGAATGCCCGGGGCCAGCTTTAGGCCACTTCGTGTTCTTCGAGTTCCCAGAATTCAATTCCTGGGCAACATTTTGAATGCTGAGGCAGGCTGAGGCTGAGGCTGAGGCAGGCTGATGCTGAGGCAGGCTGAGGCTGAGGCTGAGGCTGATGCAGGCTGAGGCTGAGGCAGGCTGAGGCTGAGGCCGAGGCTGAGGCAGACTGAGGCTGAGGCTGAAGCAGGCTGAGGCTGAGGCTGAGGCAGGCTGAGGCTGAGGCTGAGGCTGAGGCTGAGGCTGATGCAGGCTGAGGCTGAGGCAGGCTGAGGCTGAGGCCGAGGCTGAAGGCAGACTGAGGCTGAGGCTGAAAGCAGGCTGAGGCTGAGGCTGAGGCAGGCTGAGGCTGAGGCTGAGGCAGGCTGATGCTGAGGCAGGCTGAGGCTGAGGCTGAGGCTGATGCAGGCTGAGGCTGAGGCAGGCTGAGGCTGAGGCCGAGGCTGAAGGCAGCTGAGGCTGAGGCTGAAGCAGGCTGAGGCTGAGGCTGAGGCAGGCTGAGGCTGAGGCTGAGGCTGATGCTGAGGCAGGCTGAGGCTGGCTGAGGCTCATGCAGGCTGAGGCTGAGGCTGAGGCCGAGGCAGGCTGAGGCTGAGGCTGAGGGCTGAGAGGCTGAGGCAGGCTGAGGCAGAGGCAGAGGCTGAGGCTGCAGGCTGAGGCAGGCTGAGGCTGAGGCCGAGGCTGAGGCAGACTGAGGCTGAGGCTGACTGAGGCAGGCTGAGGCTGAGGCAGGCTGAGGCTGAGGCTGAGGCTGATGCAGGCAGGCTGAGGCAGGCTGAGGCTGAGGCCGAGGCGAGGCCTGAGGCTGAGGCTGAAGCAGGCTGAGGCTGAGGCTGATGCAGGCTGAGGCTGAGGCAGGCTGAGGCTGAGGCTGAGGCAGGCTGAGGCTGAGGCTGAGAGCTGAGGCTGAGGCTGAGGCTGAGGCTGAGGCAGACTGAGGCTGAGGCTGCTAGGCTGAGGCAGAGGCAGGCTGAGGTTGAGGCTGATGCAGGCTGATGCTGAGGCAGACTGAGGAGGCTGAGGCTGATGCAGGGTGAGGCTGGGCAGCTGAGGCTGAGGCCGAGGCTGAAGGCAGGCTGAGGCTGAGGCTGAAGCAGGCTGAGGCTGAGGCTGAGGCAGGCTGAGGCTGAGGCTGAGGCAGACTTAGGCTGAGGCTGTGACTGCGACTGCCGTTGCCGCTGCGACTGTCATCGCGAATGCGACTACGACTTTGAGAACAGCAGAATTCTACAACTGGGTTCTCATTTGAATCTTAAGGGGAATGCTTCCAGATATGCTCCTACACATCGCTGTTAGGTTTCTTTGCCGGGATACTTTTTTAATAAAGGAAAGTCTTGAGGGTCAAACTGTGTTGTTGGCTCCCGGTTTACAACCATAAAGCAAAAACGGCTCCCGCCTGATACCTCCTCACAATTTATTGAAGAATCGCACTCTCGCTTGGGACTTCCTTGCAATTTACCACCGGATCGCGGCTCCCGCTTGATACTTCCTCACAATTGATTGAAGGATCGCGCTCTCGGTGGGGACTTCCTCGCAACTTACCACCAAATCCCGGCTCCCGCCGGATACTTCCTCACAATTTACTCAGATGCCACTCCTCGACACTCAGGGATCGCGCTCCCACGACATATTGCCTTGCGGTTCAAGCAGAATTTACGCTTCAACGACCCGCCCGCTCGACCCGCCCGTCTGGGCCTGCCCGGCCGACCAGCCCGTTAGGGATTGCAGTCGCCGCTCGCTGCCCTTCGCCCGCCTTCGATGCCCTTCGCTGCCTGTACTGGTTCCGCGGTCGCCTTCGCTCGCTGCCCTTCGTGGCCCCGTTGCTGCCCTCAGTGGCCCCGTCGCTGCCCATTGTGGCCCCGCATTATATGCCCTTAGTGGCCCCCGCTCGCAGTCGCCCGTCGTGGCCCCATACGTATGCCCTTCGTAGCCCCGCTGTCGCCCTTCGTGGCCCTCTCGCAGCCCTTCGTGGCCCCTTTGCTGCCCTCAGTGGCCCCACTGTCGCCCTTTGTGGCCCCATATACGAATGCCCTTCGTGGGCCCCGCTCGTTCGCGCCCGTCGTGGCACCATATGCATGCCCTTCGTGGCCCCGCTGTCGCCCTTCGTGGCCCCCTCTCTGCCCTTCGTGGCCTCGTTCTGCTCAAGGGCTTCACCAACCACGCGTGGCAGGGAATGAATATACCCCCAAAAAGGGGGTACGATCGAAGACGAAGAGGGCGGGTATCCAGGGTTTGGGATGTGCATATTGAATGACACGCGAGCAGATAAGAGCGAACAGTCCTAAAACGAGTATGTTGCTGTTGTTGATGTTGTTGTTGGTGTTGTTGTTGGTGTTGTTGATGTGGTTGTGGTTGTGGTTGTTGTTGTTGGTGTTGGTGCTGTTGTTGTTGTTGGTGGTGTTGGTGTTGTTGATGCTGCTGTTGGTGTTGTTGTTGTTGCTGTTGTTGCTGTTGTTGCTGTTGTTGGTGTTGTTGTTGGTGGTGTTGGTGTTGTTGTTGGTGGTGGTGTTGTCGTTGGTGGTGTTGTTGTTGGTGTGGTTGTTGTTGCTGTTGTTGTTGTTGGTGGTGTTGTTGTTGTTGGTGTTGGTGTTGTTGTTGCTGCTGCTGCTGATGCTGTTGTTGTTGTTGGTGGTGTGGTTGTTGTTGTTGCTGGTGTTGTTGTTGGTGTTGTTATTGTTGTTGTCGCTGTTGTTGTTGTTGTTGGTGTTGGTGCTGTTGTTGTTGTTGTTGTTGTTGTTGTTGTTGGTGTTGTTGGGGTTGTTGTCGTTGTCGTTGTTGTTGTTGTTGTTGTTGTTGGTGTTGTTGTTGTTGTTGTTGTTGTTGTTGTTGTTGTTGTTGTTGTTGTTGTTGTTGTTGTTGTTTTCTCTCTGAGCGCGAGTGCCTGAAGGTCGGGTGTTGCTGGAAGTGCCCCTGGCCCGAGGTGCCCCCAGTTTTTCGCTCCATATTGGAGCCCCTGAGGTCCTCTGGGCCTCGTCAGGGGTGCCCTTGAGGCCGCCTTGGCCACCCCGAGAATCCTGGGGGTACCTTGGGCCAGGGGTACTTCTATCACCACCCACCAAACCACCCCAACCCAACCCGAAGGCTACAATTTGCCTTCCATTTCCAGTGTGGGGGGGGGTCGGTGAACATTGTAAAAACACATGGAACCCGTACCCCCCCCCAACCCGAAATTCGATTCAAATTCGGGTCTTCGGGTTGGGTTGGGGTGGTCTGGTAGGTAGTCATTCTAGCAACACCCGCGAAGGGAGGGGAGCGGTCCTCGAAGTCCGCCTCTGCGGACCGCGCTCGGTGGCCCCCTTGTGGAGACCGCGCGCGGAGGGCGCGCGCTGGGGCCGCACCTCGGGGAAATCGCACCCGTGGGCAACGCCTCGGGGCCACGCGTGGGTGCCACGCGAGGGGGGCCCACCTCCTCCCTGGTCCTCCCTCCTCCTCCCTCCTCCTCCTCCCTCCTCCTCCTCCTCCTCCTCCCTCCTCCTCCCTCCTTCTCCTCCTCCTTCTCTTCCTCCTCCCTCCTTCTCCTCCTCCTCCTCCTTCTCCTCCCTCCTTCCCCTCCCTCCTCCTCCTCCTCCTCCTCCTCCTCCTCCTCCTCCTCCTCCTCCTCCTCCTCCTCCTCCCCTCCTCCTCCCTCCTCCTCCTCCTCCCTTCTTCCTCCCTCCTCCCCCTCCTCCCTCCTCCCTCCTCCTCCTCCTCCTCCTCCTCCTCCTCCTTCTCCTCCTCCTCCTCCTCCCCCCCTCCTTCCTCCTCCTCCTTCTCCTCCTCCTCCCTCCTTTTCCTCCTCCACCTCCTCCTCCTCATCATCATCATCATCATCATCACATCATACTCCACCCTCCTCCTCCTCCTCCATCCTCCTCCTCCTCCTCCACCTCCTCCTCCTCCTCCTCTCCTCCTCCATCCCCCTCCTTCCCCTCCTCCTCCTCCTCCTCCTCCTCCTCCTCCTCCTCCTCCTCCTCCTCCTCCTCCTCCTCCTCCCTCCTCCCATCCTCCCTCCTCCCTCCACCTCCTCCCACCTCCCTCCTCCCTCCTCCTCCTCCGCCCTCTTCCTCCTCCTCCTCCCCCTGCTCCTGCTCCTGCTCCTGCTTCTGCTCCTCCTGGCTCTCAGGCAATCGCAAACATGGATCAAGGGGGCGTGGATCAGCGACGGGTCCCGTCTTCGTGGGAAACCGCGGACTTCCGCCTCCGAGCGAAGCGGCACTGGCCGCATGTTGGGGAGGACTCCTTCCCCGATCCATGAATGCGGCGACCGCGCTCCAAACCCATGGATCGCTAATCCATGTTTGCGCGCCCCCGAGCTCCTACCCACAGCCGCAGCGTGCCACGCGCTGCTGGATGGGGTCCGGGCGCTAGAGGCATCGGCATCGAGAGGCTGTAGAATCTGCCAGGTCTCTCGCATCATTACGGTAAGTTCGTATCATGCCAACGCGGCGGCGACCCCGCCGCGGGCGGGCGTTCACGGCTGAACGCCGCCAGTGGCCCAGAATTGGCCAATGTGGAATGATGTGGCGATCGAGAAGTTGCCAATTTTTCAAGGGTTCACGGCCCTTGCCGTGTCAGAAACCAGCGCAGGAGTCGTCACGACACGCATCTGCCGTGCACGCTGGAGATCGACCCATGCAGGCTCGCGCGCGCGCAGTGGCGGGGGCCCCAGGACGGTGGGGTCTTCGTGGGCCCTGGAAACGACAGGGCCGTTTTTGTTACCGGTTCCGTTTTGCCGTTTTTGTTGCTGGTTCTGAAGCCGTTGTACGGGTTCCCGCTCCGGCTCCAATCCTGGAGCCGTTTTTGATGCCGTTTCTGGTCGCCGTTTTTTTGCCGTTTTTTTTTTCAAGGGACACTTTTTCGGAAACGGTGAAAAAACGGCCCTGCTGTGGCCGGGACCCACTAAGGGCGGGGTGATTATCACAAACGAGTTGACACATCCCACGCTCTTGCAAACATCCCACCCACCCACCCGTAACTTGGTGTGCAAAACCCATGCGGTGGCGATCGCAATGCATGTTTGGCGTTGGCTGGTGCATCTCTGCGGCCGCGCCAACCCTAGCACGCGCGCGCAGCGGCCAGCTAGTTCGGCGCCGCCAACGCCGACGACGACGACAAATACGACGACGACGTCGCCAACGAAGACGACGACGAGGGAGGAGGGAGGACGACGGGGTGGGGCTGAGATGCCGCCGCTCCGCAGGCGACATCGTCGTGCTGGACGGGAAGGGGCAGGAGGTGCGCGTGCCGGCCGGGCAGAAAAAGGCCCGGCCCCCCCCGCGTGCCTTCCATCAAGCAGTGGCGGAGCGTCCTGGCTCGCCTATAGCCCTACCCTTCAATATTATGAGAACCTCTTGTGGTTTCCACGAATTGTTCTCAGAACCTTTCCAGTTGATATTGACTTGTTTAAACACATCGGTGTATGTTCTAAGAACATTGTTCTTAGAACATTTTCGGGTTCTAAGAACACTTCGTGGTATGACCATAGAAATGCCGGGTCGGTCGGTCCCTGCTCAATCCCAGTCCTCTCACGCCTCCCAGATTCGGGTATAGCCAGGACCCCAGGTAAGGGGACCCGGCTAGTGGTAGGGTCCTGGAGCCCTTGACTTGGCCAGAATCCCTGAGCCAGGTCTGCCGTAGATGGGTGTTTTTCGGGTGACGGCAATTCCGGTTAGTGGAATGGGGCGGGGGGGGCCTCCCCCAGTACACACCAGTAAACCAGGTTCCACTAAACCCAGTTCTGCCAACGCCCGACAGATGGGGTCCGAGCAGATAGGGTCGGAGGATCGCGCCGCATCGCCGATGCATCGCCGCTGCGATGTGGAGCCCGGTTTTCTCCACGCCGACGTCGCCGATGTTGCGCAACCTTCCGACCTGCTCTTGTCGGACCTGGTCTGGAAGTCTTCTCATTTGTCCCTGGGGGATCGTAGCGGGCACGAGAGGAGTGGTGACGAAGACCGACAGCAGTTGCTGTGTGGAGCCGGCCGTGGCGCCAAGGTGGCCCAGCTCTGGTTCAAGCAAGCAGGAGGAGGAGAACGAGGCCCCCGCGTCTCCACTGGGCGCGGCTCGAGGCACTGGTCAGCTCCGACCCCGGGAGGGGTCCGGGGGCCGATTCTGCGGGAATCTGCGGTCGTCTCCTTGGCATCGCTCGGACGTGTGCATTTTTCCTTCGGCAAGGACGGACCATCGAGGAACATCCTTGATCATTTGGCGAAAAAACACGCACGAAATCGAAAAAAACACAGGGAATGGACGTCCGAGCGATGGCGAGTCTCTTGGGGCCCATCCAGCGCGTTGCCTTGTGCCGCGCATATCGTTCCTGCACAGGTCTGCCCCCGTGGAGAATGGGGGCGCGGGCGCGCGCAGCCGCAGCGGCTCCTTTGGTGTTCCCAGGGGCAGTCGTGAGCTTAGTGGGCCCTGGAAACGACAGGGCCCTGGCAACGACAGGGCCGTTTTTTTACCGGTTCCGTTTTGCAGTTTTTTTGCTGGTTCCAACGCCGTTTTGTTGACCGGTTCCGTCGCCGTTTTTTGACTGGTTCCGGCTCCGGTTCCAATCCTGGAGCCGTTTTTTTGCCGTTTCTGGTCGCCGTTTTTCTGCCGTTTCCATTTTGAATGGATTTTTCCCAACCCTCCTTGGTTGGGTATTCGTTTTGAATAGAGCAGTGTGGTCGCGTCTCCTCCCGCCTCCCTCCTGCCTCCTGCCTGCCTCTTCCTGTCTTGCCCGCAGGGGGCTGCGATCTGTGAAACTGTCGCCACTTTCGAGGCCTGCTGGGGGGCCCAGCATAGAGGGTAATCGCGGCAGATCCAAATTAGACCTCGCCATTCCTGGGGGGCTGCGATCTGTGAAACTGTCGCCACTTTCGAGGCCTGCTGGGGGGCTCAGCATAGAGGGTAATCGCGGCAGATTCAAATTAGACCTCGCCATCCCTGGGGGGGGGGGGGGGGCTGCGATCTGTGAAACTGTCGCCACTTTCGAGGCCTGCTGGGGGGTCCAGCATAGAGGGTAATCGCGGCAGATCCAAATTAGACCTCGCCCTCCCTGGGGGGCTGCGATCTGTGAAACTGTCGCCACTTTCGAGGCCTGCTGGGGGGCCCAGCACAGTGAGGGCCACGCGCGGATTCAAATTAGACCTCGCCATCCCTGGGGGGCTGCGATCTGCGAAACTGCCGCCATTTTCGAGGCCTGCTGGGGGGCCCAGCACAGTGAGGGCCACGGGCAGATTCAAATGAGACCTCGCCGTCCCTGCGGGGCTGCGATCTGTGAACCTGTCGCCACTTTCGAGGCCTGCTGTGATCCCCGTTTTCGAAGTGGCTAGGAGTGCTCAGGAATTGTAAATCATCAGCTTTATCAAGCCCTTTTCCTGTAGCCAGTGTCCTGCGAGTCTCCCGAATTCCGTCTGCAGACATATGTAACCCTCGCTCCGTCATCGCCCCCTTATAAAGTATCCTAAACTATTTGCGCCCCGCTTTTGCGCAGGGGTTGGGTACGTCGCCAGGGTAATTTTTGGAAGCTGTGAAAAAAACGGCCCTGCCGTTTCCGAGGCCCACAAAGGTCGTGAGTCCGCACGGACTGCCGTGGAAGGGGAGCAGTCCAGCATCGCGACGCGGCGGACCAGTTTCCCATCCCGACCCCTGCGATTTGGGCGGGGCGACTTCACGTTCGCGTTTGGGGAGGCGGGAGGAGGTCAGCCAGCGTTTGTGGACGCCATGCCAACAGTCTTCCTCTGGACAGCGCTCGGGCTTGAGATGCTTTCAGTTCGGTCCAATGGGACTCGGAGGGAAGCGGCGAGGAGGGGAAGCGAGGCGTAATTTGGGGGGGAAGGGGAAGCGGAGGAGGAGGAGGAGGAGGCCGGAGGAGGAGGAGGAGGGAGGAGGAGGAGGAGGAGAAGAGGAGGATGAAGAGGAGAAGGAGGAAGAGGAGGAGGATTTTTCAACAGGAGCTCGTGATGTGCCCACGTGGGGTGCACCGCTGGACTCACGCCAACCCAGCGGCTCTGCACCCAGCCAGTTCCCTGCAAGTGAGATTAGGCTGGGTGCCAGCTCAATCAGAATCTCCAGATCCTGCCTCCACAACCCTTGGCTGGAGCTGTCGCAGCCTCTCGTCCGCTTCGGGGGAAGGGCGGACGAACAGGAAACAGTAGGGAGAGGCTGCTCCTCAGAAGCTCCGCCTTGCTTCGCACTGACAGGGATACCAGGATGACTTTCCTCGTTCGCCCACAAAACTCCAGGAGTCGAGTGACTCACCGCATGCAATCTTCTGGCCCTCGACAACTGGGCTTCAAGCGCCGCCGCCTAGGGACCGCAGTAACTGGGAAAATTTGCATCTTGATGCGAGCCAGGTTCTCCGTTCCTTTCTTGCTGGGTGTCCCGCGCTCCCCCAATAAATCCCTCGGGTACACGGAGGCCGTGCGGCCGCATACATCATAAACATAAAAAGAGAAACGCGGCCAGAACTTTCAGACATGCGATTCATGCAGCACCCTTCCCCCAACCAACGCCTCGCCCTAGAGGCTGGCCCGCCTCTGCCTCTCCTGAGCCCGCGCCGTGCGCTGGGCAGGGAGACTTGCATGCTTCGAGGAGGTCCTGCTTGTGAACGATGCGATGGCAGAGGCCGCATACGTCTTGATGCGAGGCCTGTAGCAGGAAAAAAGGTGGTCGCTAGCTAAGATCGCCGGGTCGACCGTGTCTCTCGGGGCACTCAGAGAGGTCGCGGCGGGGCCATTGGTGCAAGATGTTACCCGCGAGCTTGCACACAGCCTTGGCCACTCTGATACAACAGTCAAGGGCCTGCTGCTCTTCTCCTGACGCTCTTGGGTGCAAGTTGGCACCCGCCTTGGCCGCTCTGTCAACAGGCTGGTTACCTAGTCGACACCTTTTGTCCTCCTGCGAGATTCCTACCTCCTCGGGGTCGAGGTGGGCCTTGACTCTACGCGCCTCTGAAATGGTAGGGACACCTAGATGATACGACACCATCTGGCCTGCGTAGGGTCGCTTGTACGAAAACTGAAGCTCTGTTGGGGCTTGGGCTATGTCAACTACGTTCTTGCATTCATTTAGAACAGGAGAGGCACACGTCACCTCCATTTCAGCCCTCGCCAGAGCAGCGAACTCACCGCACTGAGGGGTCTGCTGGAATGGGGCGCAAACAGGGGCATGCATCGCGTATCTCTCCTGTGCGCCAGAAACGACCAGGCTTGGACCACAGCCCCCGCCATTGGGAGTTCCGAAAACTAGATGCGTGAGACAGCACCCGCCAATGACTTGGCATCGCTCGGACGCGAGGACCATCGAGGAGCATCCTTGATCATTCGGCGAAAAGATCACGCACGAAACCGAAACAAGCACATGGAATGGACGTCCGAGCGATGGCAGGCGGCGGCAGCCGCTTCCAAGTCGTCTAGGTCGATCAGATCAGCGCCCGAGGCCTCGAAGTTCGGGGGCGGAAAAGAGGGGGGTGATGACTAGGGGGGGGGGCCATGATGTTTCCTCAGATTTCATGGCGCCTCTTCTTGTTTCATTACGTCCCTGGCCCCCCCGCTGGGCCGCGCACATGCCGCCGGTCATGATTTGCACCCCCCCTCTTGGACACCCCCCTCGTGGCCGCTCCCGAGAAGTGCGGGCTTTCCCAGAACAGGTGGAACGGGGCGTCTCCTCTTTGCCCGCACATCGCACAGCAAATCTTCGACCAGCTGGTCACCAGCCTTCGCCGCCCTACTGTGCGCGCAGAGAGCGTCGCGCGGGAGGCTGCGAATCGTACCCTTGGTTAAGGCCGACCATTACGTGGATCTGATCCGGTTCCGAACGATAGCGCGACACAATGGATCACATGGCAGCTCTAACTTAGCGCAAGACTCACGTTCAAGCTGGCGAAGGACCGCAGCCCTCAGGAAGGTCTTGAGCAGCGCGGGTGGGGCCGTCGCGAGCTGGACTTCGTCCCCGAAACCAGTCTGAGGAGCGGCAGAGCTCGGCGTCTCCCGGCCGCTCCTTGTGAGAGAGCCTCCTCTCAGACAGCGCTCCTCCCACCTGCCGCCGCGTCGGGGCGTGCCTCTGGAGCGCAGACTCCCAAAGCCTGCCCGAGGCAAGGGAGGACAATCGGGGCGGGGCGGGCGCGGGCAGCCCCACCCTCCCTCTTGCACCCAGCACGGGGGGCCGCGGCCCCCGACCGCGCGGGATCGCCACTGCGGGGGGGGGGGGAGGTCAGAGAGCGTCCTGAGGCCCTGGGTCTCACGACATCCCCCCCCGCCTCCCTCGCGGACTCCCCCCGA